TGCCCAGGCGGGTCTCGAACCCGTGGGCTCAGGCAATCCACTGACCTCAGCCTCCCAAAGTGCTGGGATTACAGGCTGAGCCACCGAACCTGGCTAGATTTGTTTTTTGTTTTGTTTGTTTGAGATGGAGTCTCACTCTGTTGCCCAGACTGGAGCTCAGTGGCACGCTCACAGCCACTGCAGCCTCGATCTGCTGGGCTGAGGTGATCCTTTTGTCTCAGCCTTCCAAATAGCTGGAACTACAGGTGGGTACCATCATGCCTGGCTAATTTTTTTGATTTCTTGTAGAGATAAGGTCTTGCTAAGTTGCCCGGGCTTATCTCGAACCTTGGTCTCAGGCAGTCCTGTCACCTCCACCTCCCAAAGTCTTGGGATTACAAGCGTGAGTCTCCATGCCTAGCATGCAGTAGATTTGTAAGAATTTCAGGTGAACACAGCTGCCCTTACCATCTGACTCTACCATGAACATGTTACTATACTGTATGTTACATGTTACTTTACTGTGCTGTGGGTCTGTCCATCTTTATGTCCCTCTCTTCATTCATTCTCTATTTGTGTGTGTTTTAAAGTAAACTGCAGACATCAGTGTACTTTCCTATAAACACTTAAGCCTGCCTGCATTTAATTGACTGAGGATCAATATTTGTTGATATAAAATGTATATGTAATGGAGTGTATTAGTCATTTCATTTGTTAAGCTTAACAAATACAGACACTTGTGTTACTTGTGTGGACCTATCATTACCATCATCCCAGGAAGTTCTAGAGTATCACTGTCTGGATAAGCGCTACTCTGACATTTTTTCACCATAGATTAGTGTCGCCTGTTGTAAAACTCTATATAAATAGAACTTTCAGTAGTAGTTTACTTAACGCTTTTTCACCCAGCATGTTTTTGAGATCCGTCCATATTATATTTATCATAGTATGCTCTTTCTTATTGCTGATTAGAATTCCATTGCATAAATATACCACCTTTTTAAAAAACCCATTTCTTTTGCTTTCAAGTTTTTTCTTTCTGTTTGATTAACTCAGTACTATTTTCAGGGGTATCTGAGTCTCCCATGTGATTAATTATTTTGCTTCAGGTTATATTGTGTATGCAGAGTTGCTTTTTCATTTCTGGGTTATTAACATGAGCAGCTAGCAATGCATGTCAACCAAAAATTTATTTTGTAGTCTCCATGGAAATCCCAGAGTCCTTTAGTGTGCTATTAATAATTAAAAAGAAATAAAAGTTGTATCCAGCTTATTCATTAGAGATTTGGGTAAATGTCTTAGTAGGTCTTTTCTTCAATTACTTTAGTACTTAAATTTTGAATTTTAAATTCCAGAGAAGAGAACATTGGGAGTTGAACCCACAATGAAAACAGAGTTATGAAACAATGACACGAAAGCCATCTGTTCTTTTTGCTATGAAATTAAAATGAGTATACACTGGATAGTTGCCAGTGCTAACCTTGTTTGGTCATTTAGACATTTTTGTTTAAAAAAATAGAACTCCAAATGTAGTATAAGAATAAAATTAAACCCAGGTGCGGTGACTCAAGCCTATAATCCCAGCACTTTGGGAGGCCGTGGTGAGAGAATTGCCTGAGTCCAGGGGTTCGAGACCAGCCTGGGGAACTTGGTGAGACCTTGTCTCTATGATAAATCAAAAAATTAACCAGGCGTGGTGGTGTGTACCTGTCATTCCAGTTACTTGGAAGGCTGAGGTGGAAGGATCGCATGAGCCTAGCAGGTTGAGGCTGCATTGTCTGTGAGCGAGTCACTACATTCCAGGCTGGGTGACAGAGCGAGACTCAGACTCAAAATAAAATTAAATAAAATAAGAGTAAAATTAAATGTAGAAAATGTATGTATAGTGTGATGTATACACATCAGTATATTGTTCTAAAATAACAGAACACTGTAGTATATAAGTTATCGCAAACCTTTTCTTAAAGGACCGATTAGTAAATATTTTTGGCTTTGCAAGCCAAGAACAAAATTATATTGCCATTTCAAATGTAACCAATTAAAGCAGGGCACAATGGGGAGCACCTGTAATCCCATCTACTTGGGGCTGAGGCAGCAGGATCCCTTGATCCAGGAGTTCAAGACCAGTCCAGGCAACATAGGGAGGCCCCATGTCAATAAAAAAAAAAAAAAGTGAAAACTAGCTGGGCTCGGTGACTCAACCTGTAATCCCGCGCCTTTGGGAGGCTGAGGTGAGTGGATTGCCTGAGCCCGCGGGTTCGAGACCTGCCTGGGCAACTTCGCGAGACCTTGTCTCTACAATAAATCAAAAAAATTAGGCGGGCGTGGTAACGCGCGCCAGTAGTTCCAGCTACTTGGAAGGCTGAGGCGGAAGGATCGCCGGAGCCCAGCAGGTCGAGGCTGCGGTGGCCGGGAGCGGCCACTGCACTCCTGTCTGGACGACGGAGTGAAACTCCAACTCAAAAAAAAAAAAAAGAAAAAGAAAAAAGAAAACCATTCTTGGCTCTTGGGTGGTATAAAAGTTTGAGGTAGGCCGGATGCTTGCCACTCCCTGCTCTCACATTTGACAACAGGAAATAGCTGTCACCTTGTATTAAAATAAAACATTAATTCTTTGCAAAGTCTTTTTTTTTTTTTTTGAGTTGGAGTCTCACTCCGTCACCCAGGCTGGCGTGCAGTGGCACAATCACAGCCACCCCAGCATCGACCCACTAGGCTCCAGCGATCCTTCCACCTCAGCCTTCCAAATAGCCGAAACTACAGGCGCGTGCTACCATGCCCAGCACATTTTTTATTTATTGTAGAGACGAGGTCTCACCATGTTGCCCAGGCTGGTCCCGAACCCATGGGCTCAGGCAATTCACTTACCTCAGCCTCCCAAGTGCTAGGATTACAGGCTGAACCACTGAGCCCGGCCTCAAATTCTTACTAAGCCTCTATGTTTATCCTAGATTCTGATTCTGTATTTTAAGTAGAACTTTTACCTATTTATTTAGATGACACAATGAGATCCTTCAGTAACTTACTTTGGGTCTTTTGCTGTGGAGCTCGTGTTATGATGGCTTTTTAAATCTAAAATAATCTCTCACCTTTTTTTTGAAAGCAGGATTTGTTAAAAGGACAGAAAAGCTCACAGCAGGAGGGAACCCTAGGGAGTTGCCTGCTTTTTTTGTTTGTTTTGTTTTGTTTTGTGAGTTGGAGTGTCACCCTGGCTGGAGTGCAGTGGCACGCCCACAGCCACCACAGCCTAAACCTGCTGGGCTCAGGGGATCCGTCCCCCTCATCCTTCCCCATAGCTGTAACGACAGGTACACACCACCATGCCCGACTAACATTTTTACTTATTGTAGAGATGAGGTCTCGCCAAGTTGCCCAAACTTTTAAACTGATCTTGAACCCGCAGGCTCAGGCAGTCCTCTCATCTTGACCTCCCAAAGAGCTGGGATTATAGGCAAGAGCCACCGTACCTGGCTTATGCTTTTTTTTTTTTTAAGCGACATCAAATTTTAGGGGGAGTCCAGTTGTCTTGGAAAACGCCCCACATTCTGGATTTGTCTTGCTGTTTCATTATTATTGTTTAACTTATATTTCTGTCCTTTGCATTTCTTTTTTTTTTTTTTTTTTTTTTGAGTCGAAATCTCACTCTGTTGCCCAGGCTGGAGTGCAGTGGCACAATCACACCTACTATAGTCTCGACCTGCTGGGTTCAGGCAATCCTTCTGCCTCAACCTTCCAAGTAACTGGAACTACAGGTGTGTACCACCATGCCTGGCTAATTTTAAAAATTTATTTATTGTAGAAATACGGTCTTGCCAAGTTGCATAGGCTGGTCTTGAACACCTGGGCTCAGGCAGTCCTCTTGACTTCACCTCCCAAAGTGCTGGGATTATAGGCATGAACCACCATGCCTGGCCTTCCCTGCATCTCTTATACACTAGTCTAAAGGCTTGAGTAGATTCCTGTTAGCATTTTTGACAAGCTGTTTACCTTATATGGAAAATAAAGCTGTAATACGGTGCATACAGGTCGCACAACCCTAATTTGAAAATCCCAAATGTTACAACATTTGAAACATTTTGAATGCCGATGTGGTGCTCAAATATCATGCTGAAAGAAGATACTCATCGGAGCATTTTAGATTTCAGATTTTTGGATTAGGGATACTCGAACTAGTAAAAATAAAGCAAATATTCCAAAGTCTAAAAAATTCCAAAACATTTCTAGTCCCAGGCATTTCGGATCAGAGCTACTCAGCCTGTAGCCCTGCCTCTGGGTTGGTTCCAGCACTGAATGTGGTCAAATGTGCAAAGCACGAGGCAGCGCTGGCTGTACGGTGAGGGCTCGGTGAAGGCGCGGCTGCTGCTGTTTCTCTTATTGTTATTATAGGATCGTGTCAGTGCAACTGTATGTATGCTTAAAAAACTGTAAAAAAACTCTAGTTTTTCTTTTTTCTTTTGATTTGAAGTCTCACTCTGTCGCCCAGGCTGGAGGGCCGTGGTACACTCATGGCTACTCCAGCGTTAACCTGTTGGGCTCCAGCAATCCTTCCACCTTAGCCTTCCAAGTAGCTGGCACTACAGGCGTGCTACCATGCCAGGCTAATTTTTTATTTATTGAAGAGACGAGGTCTGGCCAAGTTGTCCAGACTGGTCTCAAACTTGCTTGCCTCCCAGGTTGCTTGCCTCGGCCTCCCAAAGTGCTGGGATTACAGGCTGAGCCACCAAGCCCAGCCTAATTTTTCTTTTTAATTATATAGGTGCACAATCTCTTGCTAACTATTCAGAAATCCAAGTGTGTTTAAATAATTCATAAAATGTGATCTGACCTCAATTTATTTGGCAGCAAAATCTGAACTAAATTGGCATGAGGCTGGAATTTTAATATATTTAAGTATGGGATGTAAGCATAGTGTTGTAGAATATGTGTAATATTACTTTTCTAGAACTGGAAATAATTCTGAGTTCTGAAACTCATCTGATCTCAAGGTTTCCGATAAGGAACTATTGGTCTTTGATTTCAAAATATTTTTTAAAGAGCCTACCTCTCTAAGTTATTTCCATGGAATTTTTTATGCAGTAATAATGGTAATGAATAGTTATAGATACTAATTGTTGAGTACCTTCTAACCTAGCATTATATAATTATGTTTAAGCTTGAATAATCCTGAAAGGCAGATACTATTGTCCCCGTTTTATAAGGGGGAGACTGAAGTTCAGAAACATTAAGTAACTTGTTCAGTGTCACGTAGTTTAGAAAAGAGTTGCAGCTCAAATCCAAGCCTGTCTTTATTCAAAGGCATTTTATTATACCATACTGCTTCTCAGGTAAGCCGGTTACACCTCTTCAATTCAGTAAGTTTTGATTCTTTTGTTGATGCTTGGAGGTAGGATATTTAGCTCTTTTTTTTTTTTTTTTTTTTTTTTTTGAGTTGGAGTCTCACTCTGTCGCCCACACTGGAGTGCAGTGGCCGCTCCTGGCCACCACAGCCTCGACCTGCTGGGCTCCGGCGATCCTTCCGCCTCAGCCTTCCAGGTAGCCGGAACTACAGGCGCACGCTACCGTGCCCGGCTAATTTTTGATTTATTGTAGAGATGAGGTCTCGCCAAGTTGCCCAGGCGGGTCTTGAACCCGCGGGCTCAGGCAATCCACTCACCTCAGCCTCCCAAAGGCGCGGGATTACAGGCTGAGCCACCCAGCCCGGCTATATTTAGCTCTTTAGTTAGGGATTTTGGAATAAATCCTGAGATTTGTGATTTTTGTGGTTCATTAAGAATCAGAAGGGGCTTTCTTCTGGATACGGGAAAAGATTTAATAAAGAGTGTGTTACTGAAGTCAGTTCAGTCTCTATCTACAGTGTATACTCACTAAATTGATGCTAAATTATGCATTTGACTTTAACTTGCTAATATTACTATCCTGAACTCTATACCTGAAAAGAGGTCATATACCTCCTAAAATTGAATTGGAAAGCTTAGGATTTTCATATTCTACATGAAAAAACTACTGCCCCATTTGTGAACCTAACCCCTAAGAAGTGCATTTTGTTAAAGTTTTTGAAGTCTTTCCTAAGGTTTTTGTTTGTCAAGAGATGGCACTATCTAAATAATAATGGCATGGTTCATTAGGAACAATTTTATAATGATTAAAACCTGGCAATTAAAATCACAGATCTAGTAATGAATAATCATGCAGGCAATAATCTATCACAGCTATTCCCCTAAAATAGCAGTTGATACTCATTAACTTTTAAGCTTTTGCTTCTCCCAGTAGAAATAAACTTTGTTACTTTTCCAGAAAATGACTGCTAATTATAATAAGAATTTTCTTAAGTCACTTTTTGACATCGGGTTTGAAGCAGTGTTTTAATGCATTCATTTCAGACTATAATGAATTCGTTGCAGATTCTGTCTACAAGGCTTTCATATTATAAATCTTCCTAATACAGTGACTCTGCTGGGAGTATAAAAGGGATACCAAAGATTGACTTTGGCAAAGTGAGCCAAGGACAGAAGTGAGGCGCTGGACCCAGCCCTTGTCTGATCTGCCAGTGTGTGATGTAGTTGAGTTGGCATTTTTTATTATAGATTATTGGAACTAGCGAGTATGTTCTACAGGACGTTATATATGTGTGTGTGGGGCGCAAAATTCTGTTTGAGGCTGTTGAAGCTTTTATGAGAAAATGTTGGTCCATTTCAGTTAGAGTTTTACGTTATCAAAAGGAAGCATTGTTTAGTGATTATGAAATAGAAAAATGGAAATTAGAAGAATAAAACGATAGCATTTTCACCTTGGCCATCATTCTCACTCCGTGGTCCATTAAATAAACGGAGTCTGACAAGATAGGGCTCTCTGTATATGCGTTTCTGACATTTTTCTCTTGTAAAGAATGCTTGACATACATTTCTCTTAAAACAGTTTGCCAGACACGCCCAAGGGACTTTCAAGGGCAAACTGACTAGTTTGGCAGAGATGTGTGTTTTAAGGCTGCTGAGACGTTCTGCCTGGGGCCCGACTTCTCCTCCCAGCAGCAGCGCCCGGTGGCGCCCTTGCCTAGCCACTCGCCAGCATTTGTTAGTAGCTGGTATCTGACTCAGTGTTGGTATTGGTGGAGGGTATGTGAAGATATCTGTTAGGGTTCTGTTAGCGTGCGTATGTACGTGATTTGTGTGTGCATGTGTGCACATTCTTTTTAAAGTAAGTTTGGTATGCAGGATGATATCTCATTTTCATTGAACTCTTAACATAAAGTGAACTTTCTAAAATTGTTATTTAGAATTTTGTGATTTGCTTAGTCATTATAGTACCTATTTTTTATTTGAAGAGATATTTAAATTATTTAAATGGCGAATTTCTTTCTGCTTTGTCCTACTTTATTACATATTAGTATTACCACTTGTCATGAATTATGTGTATTTTTCTCTACTTTAAGAAAAGATCGTTTGAATTTTAAAAATTGACTATTCTCATAATTTTAAATTTGAGGCGGGCTCTCTGAACCTCATTTGAAAACTAACTTATGTTCCTCTCTAGGTTTTCTTCCTACCATTGAGTAATACCATCCTCAGCTGTTTTAAGGACAGCTCTATCTTTGCCTGGGAATGTGATACACTGTTCTGCAAATATCAATTGCCAGCTCCCCCTGAAAGCTCTAGTATATCCTACAGAGTATTTGCTGTGACCAGGTATGTGCATTTTAAGGCACTGAGAATATTTAAGACATTTAATTTCTGGCAAAAAAATTACAAATTTTCATTTAGTTTTTATTCGGGATCTTGTCATATGAGAAGAGGTTTCCTTCAATATCAATATGGTCTGCAGACCTGTTGTTAACTTTATTGTGCAAAATTTCAAATATACAGAAAAGCAGCAGCATTCATGAGCCCTAGGTGTTCTCATCAGCTACAACAGGCACCAGCTTGCGGCCACACCTGAGTCACCTGTAGCCCAGCTGCTTCTCCACTGCATGTGCTGAAGCAAGGCCAAGCATGTCATTTCGCCCGTGAGCTTTTCCGTGTGTGTCTTGGGGCATAACATGGCCATAGTGTTGCCAGTCTTTTCAGCATTAACAAGAGTCTCTTGCTACTGTCATTTAGCCAGACACTGTTCAAATCAGGAGTAGAACTTGGTTCACACGCTGTATTTTGTTGGTGTATCCCAGTGTTCCTTTTTTCCTGTGATTTTTAAAAATCTATAAATTGGAGGTCATTCCTCCTGTGGCGTTTTCTGCATTCTGGATTTTGCTCTTTGTCTTCATGGGTGTTGGATTGATATATCTGTGTCTTCTAAAGTTAGAGGCTTGGTCTGATTCAAGGTCAAGAGGACACTGTGTAGTTTGTGCCTGTCCATTGGGAGCCATGTGGACCACATCCTTGTGATGCTAGAAGCCGTCGCTGACCATTCCCTAGACCCAGCATTACGCTAGAAGGCAGCATAGTGGTGCTGTTCTGTCTTTCCTTCTTCACTGACTGACTAGAAACCTTTTGTAGAAAGAGACGTCCTCGGTGCCTCCAGTGGTTACTTTGGCATACAGTTTGTAAAGGACAGGCAGGCCAAGCACTTGATTTTCCTCTCTTTTTTCTTAACCAGTTTTCAGAGTAATGAATCAGTTTCTTGGCTCCTTTCAAAGGTGGCCCGTGAAGGTTTTTCCTTTCATCTTTGTAAGCTCAAGGATTTGGCCTCGTGGACGTGTTTTGATGTGTTGCGGTTAGGATTCTCAGAGATGTGCCTGTTCCCTCATCTCAGGAGTGCCCTCTTCACGTTGGCATTGGAGCCCTCTTGCTGTGACTCCTCTTGTCTCCGATAGCTTGCTTTCTTTCTTTTCTTTTCTTTTTTTTGAGTTGGAGTTTCACTGTTGCCCAGGCTGGAGTACAGGGGTTCAGGCGATCCTTCTGCCTCACCCTTCCAAATAGCTGGAACTACAAGTGTGTAGTTTTTAATTTATTGTGGAGAAAGGTCTGGCCTTGTTACCCAGGCTGGTCTCAAACCCGTGGGCTCTGGTGATCCTCTCATGTTGGCTTTCTAAAGTCCTGGAATGACAGGTGTGAGCTACCATACCTGACTCTCACTGGTAGTGTTCTTGCCTACTGGAAAGAGGATATTCCATGTTTATCTTGTATGTTTCCTGCCCCAAGCCTGCAGTGAGCCATTTCTTTTGCAAAGAGTCCGGGTTCTTTTTCATGGGAAATGGCATTACAAGATGGCCTAACCTGGATGCCAGGCTACTCGTTGTGATGGGGCAGGTCGCTGTTTCTGGGCTTTTTCAGTGGAAAGAGCTAGGAAATAGATGTTAATTCCTCTCCTCATTCTCAGTGAATCCCATCAACTCTGCTGGGCTATTTACTGAATTTATTAGTTTTTTTGTTTGTTGCCACAGGTATTACCCTAGTCTAAGCGACCTAGTCTCTTTCAGACTACCCTACTGGCCTCCTTACTGGTTTCCATGTCTTCAATCTCATTCCTGAAGGTCGGTGTCTCCTTGGAAATCATGAAGTCAGATCATGTCACTTTTCTGTTTATCCCCCTTCTGCACCTGGAGTAAAATCCAGCCCCTCCCCGCAGCATCCCTTGGGACCTCACCTAGTCCTCCCTCCGTTCCTCATCTTGCTTTCTTCAGCTTCTCTGCGCCAGCCACACTTGAGCAGAGCAGTGCACTTCCAGAGTGTGGCCACTTTCTGCCCTTGTGGACAGACTGCCCTCCTTTTTCAGCACTTGGGTACTGGCTGTCTGGAACACTGGCCAGCGTAGACTTCTCCCTCCACGTCACCCCAAGACTGGCCGTTCCTGGCCTGAGGTGGCAGCTCTTCCTGTCTCCCAGCATTGCTCACCTCAGCTTACGATTCTGCACAGAACTGCCACCAGCTGGGGCCACATTCCTTTGTTTGTTGGCCTTCCTCCAGACTGCAAGTCCTGTGAGAGCAGGGTGACCTGACTTGTTCACTGTTGTGTCCCTGGCTTCTGGAATAATATCTGGCTTATAGTAGACACTTTCCGAGTCCTTGTTGAATGAACGAGCAACAGCCTTACAAGTCAAAATAGCTTGCTCTCTGTAAAGTAGCTCTCTGAACAGGAAAGAAGTGTGGGCTTTTTGTTTGTTCATATAACGAGGCACTGCAGATTCTGTATGTGAAATATCTATAGTTGGATAGTGGTTAGTGACTTTGAGGTTATGCAGAAAGCCTCTAGTCAAGTCCTCAGATGGTTATTAAGCTGGTGCCTTAGCAAAGTAGGTGAAAAATGTGTCCTATAAACTGAAGCTGTCTGTGTAACTATTTAAATTAATAAAATGTAAAATTAGTGTCCTCAGTAGCGCTGAACTCACATCATGTGCTCAGTAGGCACACATGGCTAGCGAGACACTGACCAGCGTGGAGGTAGCACGTCTGTCTCATCACAGAAAGTTCTGTTGGGCAGTGCTGTGTAAACATCCCACCTACCTTACTTCCTCACTTTTGTATCATACAGAGATGGCCGGATCCTGGCTGCCGGCGGCAAATCCAGTCATCTTCATTTGTGGTGCTTGGAGGCTAAACAGCTCTTTAGAATTATCCAGATGCCTACCAAAGTCCGAGCCATCCGCCATCTAGAATTTCTTCCTGACAGTTTTGATGCTGGTTCTAATCAGGTTAGTAACATAAATGTAGAGCATTGTCCTTTGGAGGAAGGTCACGGCCTTCTCTGAACTTCACTGGCTCTGACTCGCTTCCCTCCTGCCCCTCCACCCCCCTTACGACTCACACACTCTCCTTCCGCTCCCCAAATGTCAGCGGCAGCACTTGCTGAAAACGGGCAGACTGTGGGGAGCGTCGCGAAGAGTCATGGTTTTGCATGGGGACAGCAGGGCTGGTCCTCGCTCTGAGTAAGCCGTGGAAAGACAGATCCTCTGCCCTCCTTGCTTCTGATAGCCTGTGCGGAGGTAAAAGCTAGGCACCATCTCGGTTTGCTTTCTGCTGCTGTGATAGGATACCATAGACTGGGTCATTCATAAACAACAGGAGTGTGTTTCTTATGGCTCTGGAGGCCATGATGTCCAAGATCAAGGGGCTGGCATCTGGTGAGGGCCTTTGTGTGGTGCCATAGCATGGCAGAAGGCGTCCCATGGGTGGGGCGGGGG